AGATTCCCTCTTGGTCCACCGATGCCAAACTGTGTGTTAACCCAGGCACCACATACGGTGTTAGCTGATACACATCGTAGGCAGTGGTTATGAAGGTCGAAATCTGCTAAGGTGCGTTTACCAACTCACCTGCCGCCGAATCAGTCAACCCCAATATAGATGGCGCCAGGGCGAGCAATTGGCGAATGGGCCTATGCTCGGCCACCGTGGAAACTTCGACGCTGCACCGAGTAGGAGGGTGTTGGGCGCGCTGTGACACCGCAACGAGAGTTCGGGTGATGCCAGTCTTGGTGCTGACCTTGGTGGTAGCAGTGAATTTTCAAGTGGGAACTTTGAAGACTGAGATGGAGGAGGGTTCCATGTTCCCAGCCCGCGCACACAGTACCGCCACGGACTCATCCTTGGTGCCCTGAGCCACCTCACCCAGGCACATGCCTGCTCCTAACCCCGTAGGTCAAACATAGGGGGCACGTGCTCAAAGTCCCCGAACCCCGTAACGATCTCTAAATCCAGCGCCGCGCCCAAGTTAAAAAAAATGCCAGTGCATAAAATAATAATGATAATACGACAATGAATAATAAAATATTCAGAAAATTTTTAATCGTCAGAATATGACGAATCGAGGAAAAAGAACCCACTAGCACCATTCCCACGTTGTCGATGACAAAACCAAGGGGGATAGCTCCGTCGGGCCCTCGACCCTTCGGTCCCTTCACGTTACTCTGATATTCTCTCGTCATCGCCGCTCGATCTCGATCCCTAAATCCTTTGATTAGAAATCCGACATTGTAACCAATGGCGCTAGGCCCAAGTCCAGGTCTAGTTTTGACGGACACCTAAATAAAACAGATACTGTGCGACACGCGAATCTTACTGAAAATACTTCAAGGTCGCCTCATTGTCGATATCGTTCTCCGCATGTACGCACAAGTCACAGACAAGCGCATCAATCAAACGAGACATAATCTTTTTAATCCTAGTTTAATCGGAAATAAAAATATGGCCGGTTATCAACGCCGGTTTCCACGATCATCAAAAACAAAAGAAATCACGCGTGCCTTAAGTCTGCGCGCCCACACACTCTCTACTCTAGTCAACCATCCAGTCCAACGTCAACCACAGACCCAACCTCGCCTCGCACGGTATACTTAGACTTTAAACCAAACTTATTTTTTGTCACTTGCAAAAACCAGGGCGGATACCCTTTAAGGGTATTCACACCGACAAAGCCTGGGGCTACGGGATGGTGGGCGGCGTTCTTCGAGATGTGACAAAAAAAAAAAGGTCGCCTTGTCCCGGCCGCCCC